TCACTTATGATTACTTAATAAAGAAAACTGTAAATGCTGTAACAAATATTTTTATTAGTAAAAAAATTTAAAAAGCCATTGAAAACGAATATGTAATATATTAATAAAATAATATACAAATGTTTGGCACAAAAGTTCATTATAATTGTATTGTTTAATTAGAAAACAATATTTGCAAATTTGTGTCTTTTTCTTTTTTTTGTAATTAATTTAAAAAAAACTGTCAAAGAAAACGGAATATTTTTCAGAATATTAAATGTTTATGAATACTAAGCAAAATAAAAGTTTTTTTTTTTTTAATGATAAAAGCAAAAAATAAGATAAAAAGTGTAAAACATGCATAGAAACTTAAAAATAATATTATTGTTTTTAATATTGCATATAAAAACTTTTTTTTAAACTTAATTTAATTTAATTTTGAAAAATAACAATAAATTATGAAAAATCTGCTGAAAGTTTATAAAAATATATATATTTTAATATAAAAAAAATAATAAAATTTTTCGTCACATAAAGCTTTAAAAACTATAACTTCTGTATGCAATGTATATTTGATGCAATTTTTATATAAAAAAGAAAATTATTTGCTTACACATTTAATTTAGCAGAAATAATTGAACACGAGAACATAATACATATGTATATATTATGTACATACTACCATACATGTGTACATAAAAGACACAAAATAATAAATAAATAAATATCTTTTCAAAACACAGTGGTGGCACGTACAATATGCGAGCCAATAGCTAAGGCTAGCTTGTAGAGGCACTCAAACGACATGCTGAAAGTTTCTCGCTCAATTTAGAGATTTTGACAAATTGCCATTTACCACAAGCAATTAGAAGAAATAGAGGTTGGTTTACACTGAAACACTGAAAGACTAGGAGACAACAGTATTTTCAGAAAAAATTAGCAACGAAATTTTATACAAAAAATTAATAACATTTATTTCCAACAATATTTAAGTAGTTCTAATACATTTTCTTTTGCCAAATGTTAGGAGAAAAAATAAATTTTTAAAGTTTTTGGTTATTAATTTTTATTATGAGTGAATGTACATAAATGCTAAACACGAATTATAGTAAATACTATGTAAGGGCACATTAATATATAAAAAATGTAGAATTTTACTAATTATAAGCAAAAATTATTGATGTAAATGATTCAATGTATGTGTGTATGAGAAATGATAGAAAAAAATATAAATTAATTAAAATAAATGGAGAAAATACATAAAAGCAACGCAAAGACTAGATTTTTATTTTTAAAACAGTAAATTGTATGCAGCATATTAGAGAAAGAAAGCGTTATTTGGTTTAATTAAAATGAAAATTAATAATAATTGATAATAAATGTAATAATAATTCTTAAATAACTAACAATAATGTGGCGAAATATCATAAATAATCAAATTTTGTAAAGTCAGGACACATAATAAAATTTAAAACAAATGTTGATAAAAAATAAAATACGCTAGAAACCATGTCATGACATTAAAACAAGTCCAAAAGTAGAATTAAATAAATTGTTTAAACTGGTCACTCAATAACTAACAGCTACAAAGAGCAAACAGCGAAAAAAAGGACAAATATGTTAAAAAAATTAATTAGTGTATATAAAACCTAAAATATTGTCATAGAATGCAAGCCCATAAGAGCTGAAAATCGAGTCCATTTATTAATTAGTATGTGAGTTGAGTGATGATGTGACTTTTGAGTAAATAATTTTATACTTTAATGCCTGAGGGCAATTACTATTTACGCGTAGACTTACAATTTGGTAAAAAGCAGTAAAAAATAACAAAAACTAAAAGAAATTAAAAAAAAAACTAAAAACATTGCTTAAAGTAAGGAATAATAAAGTAAACTCGAATAAAGCATAAGAAAAAAGGAAAACGAGCTCAAATTAATAAAAAAAACTTAAAAACTTAACTGAAAAATAATTTATATTTAACTAAAATTTAAAATTAAATAAATATAAATCAAAAAAATTAAAAACGGAAAAGCAAATAAGAAATATTAAATAAATAAAATAAAAAAGAATTAAATAAAAGGTAAACAAAAGCAAAAATCAATAAAAAGAAGTCATTATTGAAGAAAGTAACAAAATCCAAAAATTAATAGTAAAAATAAAATAAACTAATTAAATAGTAAAAACAAAAAATTAAAACGTTAATAAAGTAAAATAAAAAAATTAAGAATACATAAAAAGAATAAAATTTGAAGAAAATTTATAAATAAATAAACATAAATGCAATAAAAAAGAAGTAATTATTAACAAAATCAAAAAATTAATAGGAAATATAAATAATAAAATTAAAAATAGAAAAAAGTAGTAAAAATCACCAAAAAAAAATAAAAAATCAAAAATAAATGGCAAAATTAAAATAAAAAAAATTTAAAATTTGCAATAAAAAAAAATATAATAAAACAATAAGTAAAAATAATATAAAAAAAAATTTAAAAAAATAAAATCTAAAAATGAAAAATAAATATAAACGAGTAAAATTTAAATAAAAATGAATAAAAATAATAAAATAATCAGTAAAAATAACAAAATAAACAACATAGGCAAAGAGTATTTACTTAACAAAATAAAATGCAAAATAAAAAAAATAACAATAAAAATTAAATAAAAATTTTAATAAAAAAAAAATAAATAATATATGAAAAAGTATAATATAAAATTTAAATTACAAAAATGTAAAATGAAAAAATACAAATTAGTAAAAGGTAAAACACAAAATGAATGAAATAAAATATAATATAAATTAGTAATAAAATAAACGAAACAAGATAAAAGAAAAATATCAAAAAAAAATAATAAAACGAAATGTAAAATAAGAATTAAAATAATATAAAATCAAACAGAAATATATAATAAAAACAAACTAAAGATACCAGAAAAAACCAAAAAATAAATTATAAAGTAATAAAAATGAAAAAAAAATAAAAAATAATTAAAATAATATTAAGCATTTTAATTTGCTTTCAATTTCAAATGCAATGAAATTAAGATAAAATAATATAAATTAAAGAAAGCTTATGTTATAATAGTGAAATATAATTAATTAATTTAAAGCGTTGTTAAAAATAATTTAAAATGAGCTTAAAATAAATATGGTAATGTTAAATAAAACACAAAGTTAAAAATATATATACCTATGTATATATTATATATAATATAAAGATGAAACATTTTTAATATTAAAAAGCCGAAAACATAACCATAATAAAAAAGAAAAAAAACTTATTGTACTTAAAGAAATTGCTGATTATATGTAATCGTGGTAGTTTACAGAGTTGCTACACTAGTTTTTAAAAGACTTAAAAATAAACCAAAAAATTTAACGGAATTTAAGAACACTTCTCGTATTTCTGCGATACGAGACCACTGTATATATACATAGTACATACACACATACATACATGCATACATTTAACAGCCAAGCACAGCAGGCGTATAAAATACACTGCTTTCGCAAAAAAAAATATATGTAAAAGAAACGTCTAAGCAGCACTGCAAAGAAATGACAGTCAAGCAATGAAACAATACTTACATACTTACATAGATTAAAACCACGCTCAAACACACACCAATACTTGCTCAAAAATAACCAAATATAACTGTACATATGTATGTACCAGTGAAATTATGCTCAGAAAAAGCAAAATTTGCTTCAAAGCGAGATTTGAAAGACAAAATAAAATAATTAATATAAAATTAGAAATATATGAAGAAAAATGTAAGGCATGAGAAATATTAATATTACAGCCAGTCACTGTATTATATTTACAGGTATCTATTCGTATTAATAAATAAAGAGAATTTACAAACATTTTAGTTTAAATGCAGCATAAGTGAAAGATGTAATATTTTAAGCGCATAACATATGATGAACATGCACACATACAGACAAACACATACAGTAAACGACGGTGTGCAAATACAACAAAATACAATGAATAAGAAAATATAAGGAAAAATTGTATCAAAAAGTACATACATACATCTAAATGTGAAAATGGAAAATATGAATAAACAAAAAGTAATAATAATGTAACACTGTTGTTGTTTTTTTTTTTTTTAATTTTCGGACTCAAATATTAATAAGACTAATATATTAAGTTCCCAGGGCTTAGAGTACGAAATTACCGTTAGTTTGCTTTAAATTTTTGTTAAGCGAACACGTTTTGGAGAGTTGAAGATGGCGCGCATTGCAATACCGTTAGCTCAAACTTAGGGACGTTTTCTCTATCTCTGGTTAGCAACCAACTGTCAGTTAAGTTCTGGTTAACTCAACCAAGACTCCTTCTTTAGGTAATACTCGAAAGAATACAATTGTTAATTGCAATTTAGATTTTTTTAACGATTCTGAAGCATAAATTATTTTTCACAAAGTAACTACTTATTTTTGGGAAGCTGCCGATTTATCAAAAATCAAAATTTTTACTAGTCCTTTGATCATTAACTGCTGTAATCTATAGAAATAATATATTTCTTTTTTACTTGTAGATTTTAGAGAATTTCAAGCAGAGAGTAAGATTTTCCTCACCGCCAGACACATTTGTAAAGGTCCGCCTGTAGATCGGCTATTGGCTACTTGATTATTAGAGTACATTAAATATACATTTTTTATATTTATTGAATAATGTGACGCTTCAGAAAAAATTTACATAGAACGCGTTTTTTTCTCTCAAGTGGATATAACACTTTAACGAGAATTCGGTCATAAATTGTTACTATTAATAGTATCTCCAATTCACAGCAGCACAAGTAGCTGCTGAAACTAAAATCTAACCCCTAGACAGATCCAAAATCCTAGAGAATATGCTTTAGTTCAGTTTCTATGTTACCCTCTACTCAACCCAATTGCCTGTATATTATCTTGTACTTCTCAACGAACCGTTTTTCGTAAAAACAGCAGCATTTGTTTTAAAGCATAATTAGAAAAACGCTGATAAATTAGAAAACACAATACAAAAGTTCAAACAATATAATGGTATAATTTTTAATTATCCTTTCTAAACAATATTCTTTGCCAGCAGTTTTGATGATCGGGTATTTATATTTTATCAACCAAAGAAACTATCGGTTAACTACCCAGCGCGGTATGAGAGATTTCGGTTAAAGTTTTTATGAATTTCTTAAGACCGTATTGACAATATTTTTATTGACCGTATTTTCAACCCCTTCTTACACATAGCGTTTATGAGTGTGTGTATGTCCGTTTCCAAGCATATTCTTTTATCGTATTTGAGTATCGGTTGCCTTGAGATGCTCGCATTAAATAATTGTCATACGCAGATATCCGAGTACCCAGCCAATCCTGACACTATGATGGAACTATGGTGAATGCCGCTAGTTGAAGAAGAAGAAATCGCTGTAATTATAGAAAATATTTATTTTGTGCGGATGAGTTAACTTTGTTGTGGCCAATTAATTGAGTAATGATTTGAGAATATTTAAAAATTTATGCATTTAATAGATTGGAAAGTGTTCAGACTGATTGTTATTGATTAAAGCGCAGCAGATGGATTTTACAAAGCGTAAGTAAATTTGTTTGGTTGCAGTAATGTGTACATATGTAATTAATACATGCAATTGCTTAATAATAAATGCATACACTTGTGCTTGTTTATTTTGAAGTAAAATCGAATTACTACTTTCTTGATGATAAAGCATACACAGAAGATGATCTACTCGTCTATAATGTCACAGCTTATCAATTGCATGGCAAAGTGAGCTAAATATTACATGTATATCTAGCGAATAGCAAACGCTTAATTAATTATGCTAATACTTGCAGGTCACCGAATTAGAACTCCGCAAGTACTTTTCGCAATTCGGCGATGTGCTCAAAGTGTATTTGCAACGTGATAAATATGCAACCGGCACTGCGGAACCACCGATCGGTGTGGTGCATTTCGCGCACCCGCTTGCGGCAGCTAGGTATGTTGCACTGCAATATTATTTTTTTGTGTTGATTGCAATGTTATTGAGGTTTCATATTTACAGAGCGCTGCAGCGTTTCTCGCATGAATTACAAAAGAAGCGTTTCTTTGTGAATGCATGTGAGAGTTGGGAGCAACCGGAAGCTTATAGAGGTGGCGTAGACTTCAACACACGTATTGCTGCGCTCAATCTAAATGGTGATCTGATCGATTTTTATACAACTATGCGCACCAATATCTTGCAACTAAATGATGAGTGTTTAGAGACCATATGCCTTTATCTGCCATTACGTGATCAAATACGCTTTTCACGTGTCTGTCGGCGTTTTCGTGATATTTTTAAGCGCATTTGCAAGTGCACAGCGAAAGTTTTCAACATGAATCAATTAATCGGCATGACATTATGGGATATACGTGAATTTTTTGAAATGGCTGGCGCTAATATTGAAGAATTGTTTGGTGCAGTGCCTTATAATTATCAAGATCGCATAGACTTTATAAGCGAACTAAGTCCACGTGTGCGACGTGTCGATCTGAATTGCAATAATGTGGAATCCGCTAGTTTGTTGCGCTTTCTAGAACATTTCCATGCAGTTACCTATGTGGAATTGCACAATTTTTCGCTGAACGACAACTCTCTGCTTGCCTTAAGAAAACTGCCGAATTTGCGTGCGCTGATACTCGATCAGAGTTTCGAACTGACAGGTGTGCACCCCATTTATAGTTTATTGATTTTTTTTTTATGTTTTAACAAAAATCGTTGTACTTACAGGCAAAAATCTGAGTAAATTATATCAGCTGCACGAGCTTAGCCTTTTTGGTTGTGAAAATTTGCAGACCAGCCATTTCATCGACATCTGCAAGTGCTTATTTAATTTGCGTTGCCTTGACATACGCCACTGCAAAATGCTTACATCGCGCGCTTACAGCGAAATGGTGCGCAACTGTCGTCAATTAGAGCAGCTAAAAATATCCTGTGAAAAAGAGGTGAACTACGATTGTGTAGCACAATTGCACGCACTGCGTCAACTTTCAGTGCACTCATTTGGCGCGGTGCGCGAAACGTTATTCATTGCGCTAGCTGCACACAAGACGCAGCAGCTGGAGAAACTCGAGATATCAGCAAGAAATTGCATCACACACGAACGTGCCATTTACCTATCAAGGTTGCAGCAATTGCGCAGCCTAATCTGCCCAAATAATGACAATCTAACCGATGAGTGTCTCTTTGAGTTTGCCGAACGCCTCAAAAAGTTGGAGCAGCTTGACATTAGAAATTGTCGCGCCATAACAAACATTGGCGTTTTGGTGTTGTTGCGTCGCTGTCCACAGCTAAAGCTTGTTAACATCGAACATTGCGAGGGTATAACAGATGATTTTGTATTTGATGCCTGTGATGTGCTAAAGCAAGGTGGACGCGCTTATGCGGAGCCAGTGCTATTTCGCGTGGCGTGCACCAGTGTGCACGAAATCGTTGTGCAGGTAAGCGTTTTCAAATCAATTAAACAATATACATATAAGCATTTATTTTCTACATGCAGGATTTACCGCAGCTAGAAGTTGGCCATTTGTTACAATTTTCCTTCGTGGAAGAGTGCTCCTAGTGCCCTGCTGGCACGTTTGCAAACATGCAAGCGTATGACCAAAGAATTATAAAATAATACGTGTCGTCTAACAAAGAAAAAAGAAAAAAAATCAAATACATATGTATCACGTTATTCACGGTAAATGCATTTAAAAGACATTTGAATTAACACATTAAGAAAATTTTAATAAGCGAAAATCACCGAGACGCACAACGCACATACGACAGCGAAATACGCAAAGCTACGTAAGCAATTCTGTTGAAATTTACGTATGTTTTTCAATTGTGCACAATTTTTTGTGTGTTAAATTGTTTGTTTTGAAAAAAAAATCAGCAATATTTAGTTTTTAAAATTGATAAACAAATATTTATATTTCAAATTATTGTATGTGCCACAAAATTGTTACATAACGCTTTAAATTAATTCTAAGCGTGCAATGTTAATATTGATATTTTGGCTTAACTGTTTATTATTAAATTAATGCATACAAAGCGCTAAAACGTGCTCACAATTATTAAATAAACATAAAAAAAATTATGTTAGCTGCGTTTGCTAAACATACACAGTGCATAAATTAATAAAAATAAATAATTATTTTCGAACAAAACTAACCTATAATTTTTGTGTGCAATTCGCAACTATTTTATGTAACAATTCCACGCCCATATATTACAAAACGATATTCTGTAATGTTATTTTAAAACTCATATGCAATAACGGCATAACGGTACATAGTAAAACTGCATGGTAATACTCTAAAAGCAAATAATAAAACTATAAATATAACAATAATTATTATGTCAAATTTTCAAAAGCAAATTTTGATATTTTCAATAAAAAAAAATTAAAAATATATTATATACTTATAGTATACATAGATATTTGTCGCGTAGGCATAAAATGCGTTTTAGATATTAATAAATTTCTGCATGCGTATTATACTATCTATAATATATATATTATTATCTATTGTATTTTTACTAGTCAATAAGTGTTACTGTCTTTTACAATATTTACATTATAATTACCGATATTGTATATTTTTCTGAATTCAAATAAATCGATGAATAATACGACTATATTGGCTATAAATATACATGAGTGCAACGAAATTTTTTATTCCACCAAACTATCAATTCCTGAAAGGTAAAATCAACAAAAAATCTTCTTCCTGTACAAGATTTGGTAGTTCTGTTGTTATTCTAGCGAAAAAAAAAATTCCAAATACTTTTCTGAACTCCTGCCGAGTTTTAAGTTCGCTACTAATAAGATTATATTTTTATCGTGTCTATTCCTGTTACAAAAACCAGATTAAATATTTTTGCGAAATATTGTCGAGCTCCCCTTGTCTTTGGGCAGATAAAATTCCAGTTACGTTTTGATTACGTATAGTCGATTATAACAAAAATATCCCTTGTGCCATATTGATAAGATGAAATATTTAGCCGAACACACTTGCTTGAAGCAGGGACCTATCATAGAAACATCAAGCTTTAAAAATATAATAACTACATTCCTACAGACAGATCTGTAAAACCCCTTATATTTTACAACCAACAGTATTTTAGGTTAAAGTACGTTTCCTCAGTTGATATTCTCGAAGTTGCAAGTACATACCCAAAATAAAAGACCCATTGGTTTTTCAACTTAAAATATTGGTGTTTCTGCACTGATTCAGATGTCTACTACATAATTTTGGCTTAAACCTTATCCCTTATACTCGTAGTACGATCCAGCTATAACGAATATCTCGGTCTTGAGCCTAAACATATAGATTGATGCTCTTTTTCACTAGTTGAAACTAAGTATATTCACTGTCATAGCCGTTCTCTGACATGAAGTTCATATAAACGTCAGAATCCACATATGTTTACTCGAACAGCGACTACGAACGTTACGCTAAAGTGACGTCACCAACTCAATTACCGTTAAATAAAACAAGAAAATTTACAAACTGAATATAGTGAGATAGATACTAACATAAGCACCATAGTAGTTATATAGTTTGAAGCATAGGCGAATGCCATTAAGGTAGCAATAGAATTATAACTCCAAAGCGCAGCCTCTTTCAGAGAGGTGAGCATTCATTTCGACAGCAGCGCGACAATACTATCCTTACTCATTTGATTACAAAAAATTTTTTCATTAACATACTCCTTTGGGTGCTTGGTCAAAGCGGAATGCTGAACACTGCAAAGGCGATGAGTTCGTAAGTGAGGCAACCCTTGTTCCGATTACTTTGGATTGGGAACATTGTAGGCTTGCGTTCTCGTGCTGGACTTTTGGACTCCACGTAATCTTAGCAGACGCTGTTAAAAACTACCTCCATCTGCCCTTCTGCACTGGAATAGAAGGCAGGAGATCCACTGAATTTCTTGCTTTCAGCATGGTTTATCTCGTCAAAATAGTTAGAGTTCTTGCTGGACATTGTCCAATAGGCACACATCTTTGTCAGACACTACTTTTCGAAGCTGCTTGGAGGTACGTGAAGTGGAAACATTCTCGGTGAAATAGCTGGAATTGATATTAGTCGCCTCAACAAATTTGCGGCAGGCTTACAGCGCTTTGTCGATTTTTGCGGGCATTTTCGATCAATACTTACGTGTACTTAAGTATCACAATGAACCGGCGTTCTCAGCTGTCCAATTGGTATACATTTTTAACACTCAAAAGGAAACGTCAGAGACCCTATAAAGTAAATATAAATACAAGTACATATATAAATGATCAGCGTGACGAGCTGAGTTGAATTAGCCATGCCCGTCTGTCTGTATATATGCGAACTAGTCCCTCAGTTTTTGAGTTACCGATCTATACCGCTCCTTTTCGCACCCAGAGTTGCTCATTTCTCGGAACGGCCGAGATCGGACCACTATAGCATATAGCTGCCATACAAACTGAACGATCAAAATCAAGTGCTTGTATGGAAAACTTTTTTCATTTTACGAGATATCTTCAAAAATTTCCGTATGTAATGTTATTGCCTAAGGCAATGGTGCAATTTTCGAAGAAACTGTTGAGATCGGATCTTTATAGCATATAGCTGCCAAACTAACTGACCGATCAAAGTTTTTACAAGGAATCTTATGTATTTGTGAAGGGTGTTATAGCTTCGGTGCAACTGTAATAAACGTTTTTTCTTGTTGCATCGATCTTTTAACCTAACCTAACCTAACATATAGTAGGAATTTGCTGTGCCGTCGAAAAGTTTAGAAATTCCAAAAATAGCATTTCTTAAAATATTCAACACTCATTTGGCGTGTTGTTTGAAATATCTGCCCACAATTTCGCCACAATACAATAAAATAATGCATGCAAAATATTCTTGTTTTTCACTTTTTATTTTATTTCATATTTATTAATTTTATTTTCATAATTTTAATGCATAAATTTAGTTCGCTATTACATTTCTTTTGTATCTTCATTCATTATTTATTTAATTAATTATTTTTGTTTTCTCTTTTGTTTTTGTAATGTAAAGTAATTTATAACAAGCAATTTATTTGTTTTGTATTTTCATACTTTGCTTATATCATTCTTTCGTACGCCTGTCTACTTATACTTGTAAACTGCCGTTGACTGTAGTGTTGTTTTATTTAAATTTAATGCTCCTTAAAATGTCTGCATTTAAATTTGTTTATTATTTTTATTTCTTTAATAATTTATACTTACTATGCGCTTCGAAATTTGACGTGTCTGCTTTAATTACATTTCCATTTTTTATTTTTTTGTTTTCAATTAATTTTTATTAAATTTTGTTTAGTTTTCTGTTTTATTTTTATTACGCTCTAACCAAATGCTCAATATATAATTAATTAATTAATTAATTAATTGTAAAACTACGATTGCTATTAGACTTATAATGCTTTTATTTAGTTGCTCTTCCATGCATTTTTAGTTAAATAATTTCGTTTTACTTGCAATTGCGCTTTTTTATTAATTTTTTTGTATTTTATTTATTTTGGTAAATTAAATTTAACTTTTATTTGTTAAAACTAAACCATTTCACTTGCTAGTGTCTTTATTGGAAATATTTCATACATGCTAATATATGCGTATGTTTGTATATAATCGTATATATAATAGTTTGTTTGTAACTTTATCTAATTATATGCCAATGAAATTGTTTTTATTGCTTTGCATGGCAAACCAATTGAAAAAATTTTATATTATTAAATTTAAGCAGCAAACTATAAAAAATATTTGTTTTCGTTTTTTTGCAGTTTTGTATGCAAATTGCAAAGAAAAATTTTCTGCTGAAAGTTAAAAAGGCGAAATACATACACTTGTGCTGCATTGCTTGGCTTAAGGTTCATACAAAAAATTTTGTTTTTGTTTTTGTTTTAATATTTGTATGTAAATTTTGCATTTGCACTTTATTTCTTTAATTTATTTATTTATTTATTTACTTAATGCGCTTCTGTATTTGGTACCACATTTTAAATAATTCTCATTATACTATAGCTGTATATGCTTTAGCGTAATTGCAAATATTTATTATTATTTATTTAGTTTTTTTTTTGTTTTTTAATTTTTAATCTCACACACTAATATGTCTACGCATTTCTTTGTATTTTATATTTGTTTATTATTTAGTTTTGCTTTACTACTATTAACCCTTCGACTTATTTTTTTTTTTTGTTGTTTTAATAGATTTATTTCTTTTTACTCCTTTGTTCGTTTACAATTTTATTACAATACAAAAATTATAATGGAAAATAATTAAATTAATTTAAACTTAACTGCCGTAAAATATATAGAAAAAAACAATAACAAAAAATATATTTATAATAATATATGCATATATGTATATATATCTGTATATATTAATATATATATATATATATATATAATAATATAAAAATAATATATATATATATATATATATATACATATACAAATATATACGTATGTATTGTATCAACTAAACATTTCATACAATTAATTTAATTATATATGCAATTATACCAGCATAAGAGCGTTTGTTATTACTTCTCCCCACTGCTTTTGCTGCTACATATTTATTTATATATTATATATAATTCAACTGCACTGCTCCGCCCATTTGAATATTACAAAAATTGTATTAATCGTATAAGTTTGAAAACATTCTGCAAAAATGCCGTCCATAAGGCATTCAAACGTTTCGAGTGCGCCATTAGGAAGCGCCAAGTGCACATCACCGCCACCACTTTGGTCAGCTGATGCAGATAGTACAATCTATTGTGAACGTTTAACAAATTGTAGTAATTAAGCAACAGACAATATTTAATATTTAAATAAATACTACAAATATTTTTTGCACTTACCGCATCAAACGCTTTCGACACGCAGGCAGCGATTCTGGACGTTGTTTAAATAAGAATTCCCTAAAGCCCAATACATAACGCTCGACATAGTTCTCCCAGTTAATGGTGCGCACATCGAACACAAACGTTTCGCGATCCTTCTGACTCAGCGCATTGAGGAGTGCGTGCACGTTGTCGTCTCTGAATCGCCACTGGTGTGTAGCAAAGTATTCCAAGCAACCAACAGCTTTGGCGATTTTATTTTGTATATTTACCATGCTAACGAATTTGTGATGAAGAAAAAAGTTAGAATAATAGTTGGTATAAATTTGGTAAGTAATGCCATTTAATTGCTGCCATTTGTTTAATCCATATAATTATACTATACTCACAATGGCTTCTTGCCCATCAGTCGCGCTACAATATCCAATATATAGGCCGGTAAGTAGTGTACAAGGAAGCCATGTGCTGCATTTAATGGACGATTCATGCGTAACACACCCGTCGGATACCACAGGCAGCCCTCTGTAGAGTAGAGAAGAAATTGTGCATATTTTATTATTAACCAAATTCATTATAGCGAAGGCGTATTTGTGGACATGTTGAATGCTTATGTAATTTACTCAACCAGCCTTTAGGGGTTCGGAGTAGTCAGAATTTTGGAAAAAACAATATTTTTTTGCCTTTTCTTAAAGCATGATTAATTTAGCAAATTCGTGAAAATTTGAGGTAAATCCAACAAGTATTTTTCGTGTTCGTTTGATTTTAGATGTATCTGCAATTATTAGAGATGCTCACCGCAAGAAACTTGGGTTGGAACTGTATCAACACAAACAGCTATTACTTTTAAAAGTATAATGTTTTTGTTCAAATGTATATCAGGTCGAAAGCTTATTTAAAGCTGCTATGTTTTTACTTTTATAAAATAAAATAATTTACTCACAAAAATTAAAACTATTTGAAGTTGTAATTTTCTTCATGTCTCTAACTACATCTAACCCCTTTATAAGTTACTTTTAGGTAAATATGCACATATATGCAAATATAGGTACATAGGTATAATTGAACTTACCTAGTGGATGCTTTCGTACATGTTTCATGGCATAACCAACAAATTCGCCCCATTGTATGGGGTGTCGTTGTCCGGTACAACAATTATATATCGCTAAATTATCAGTTTTTCTCGTCGCTGTGCGCCATGCTGCGGCAATCATTAAATTAATCACAATATCGACAGGTACCATATCGGCAATATAATTCTTTTCACACATTATTGTGCGAAATAGACCTTTACCGACGGCGGCTACCAAACCAGTTGGACCATTAAAATTATCCACCCAACCGGCGAATGGTTCATTCAAACTGGCAATCACTGTGAACAGAGAATATTTATGATTTAAATGTTATGCTTCCGCTAGTTATGCGGTAAATTGATGGATGGTACTAACCTATAGAAGGCCGCACAATGGCCACAGGCAGATTGCCAGCTTCTTTGAGTAGCATATGCTCCGCTAAGGCTTTCGTAAATGTATACGTATTGGGGCGTTTGCCAATCAACGATGGGGTTAGCTGAAAATTTATTTGAAATTAGGCATATTTTACAATACAATAATTTAGTATTATAGGCTGATTTATTGAAGCGACAGTTAATACATATATTAACAAAAAAACAATACTGAATTTTGTATTTCAAAATTTCTACAAAAATAACTCTAAATGCATTGCACATTCAAAGGTTCTTAATCAGCTAATTATGTTGTTCTTTAATAAATAATATTATATATGTACATATATACCTAAACTGCATATATGCTTTTGTTTTGTTGCCATTATTTACCTGATCGAGCATATCCTCAGGAAGCCAATTGATCAAAGAAATAATATCGTCGGGATTATAGGGTGGTGCATATATAACTTCTGATACCTCGGTTCTATCGCAATTGCAATAGGCAGTGGAGACGTGTATAAGTGCCTGTTAAGTATATAGCAAATCAAATTAAAAAAAGTATACATATATATATATTTTTAGTATTATTCCCTACAAATTTTAAATAATTTATAGCTACTCACATCTAAAGACATCATGCGATGGCACAACTCAACCAAACGCTTTGTCCCAAGCATGTTGATTGTGACAGATAATTTGAGCTTTTCATCGAATTTCACGGTGGCAGCTGAATGGAATACAATGGATACTGTGCGACAAAGTAGCGCCTGGTAATGAAAACGTTTAATTAAAGAGCATATACAACAAGAAAGACCTTTTTTAAATTTTGCTTAAACATTTCGTTACAGATTGTAGCTCCGTTATGATATAACAGGTTTTGATTAGTAAATATATATGCTTACCTGATCATTTTCACAGATGCCCAATTCCTCGGATGTTATATCACCAGATATAGGAATAACTTTACTCAATTCCTTTGGTTTCTCTCTTCGCAATGTTTCAAAAAGCTAGACGAATAGTGAAAAAAAACAAAAACCATTAATTTGAAACATGTCTAAAACTTATATATTCTTTATTAGTCATAATTATAACTAAATGATAGAATTGAATGAGAAATTGCTAGTTGTTTCTACTACAATTGATTACAAAATTAATGATGTAAGTAACAGGTAAGGTAAATCGTTATTTTTTTTTTTGCAAAGGAAAAAGTGTGTGAAATAATTTTCCATTAATACCAGTCACTAAAAGTAAGACTCATATTTTCTAGGGTGGGGCGAAAAAAACTCGAAATTTACTTTAAAACTGAGTGGGCGATGTTAAAAAAAAAATTTTTTTTTTGTAAAAAAGATTTTTTTTTTGTAAAAATTTTTTTTGTAAATTTTTGTAAAAAATTTAATTTTTTTATAATTTACAGATTTTACCCTCAGCCTAAGCAAAAAACAAAAAAAAAAAATTTCGCTCCAACCTTTTACTTTCACTACTTTTGTTGTACAATTTTAAAATTTCCGATACACATTATATATATTTTTTTTGTTTGAAAAATAATTTATATATAAATACAATTAATATTTATTTAGATGAGATAAAAGGCAGTACCCTTCATCTTTGTGTAGGAATTTAAAGTTTTTAACTCTGTTTCCTCCCAAAAGTATATTCACAGTGAAAAATCCACCGGGTCGTATGAGTAATATTTGATATTCATACACAGACTTGCCAACTATTTATTAATTAGCATTAGACAGATTCGGCGTTGAATATATTTAAAATAATGTTCACTAAATTTATTAAACTAACCCTTTATTTACTTTTCATATATATTTTATAGAAGCTTCATCCATTATATTCTTATTGGGTGCAACATGTCGTATGAGTAACATATAATATATGGTATATGTATGTTCAATATATGTACAAGTATATTATCAAAATAATGTATAAAATTATTAAGTTAAATTTTAACAAATTCCACAAAATTGATTTTTGTACGCAGCACTATATCCTTGGTATAGTTTTTTCTTAAATTCCGATATTGGGATAATAAATTGTAAATTTGATTTAAAATAAAAAAATATTTGTCAAATTAAAAGTTGGCATGAAAGAGCTAAAAAAGTAAGGCTTTACATATTTCTAACTGACATACTATAATTAAGAGCAAATTAATATTATATAAGTAAGACGAAAAACGCAAAGGTTAAAAAATTGTTTTTATTTTTTTAATTTTTAATTACAAACAGCGGATTAACAATTTCTTTCAATCCAGTATTTAGAAATATAATTGTATATTTATTTTCAATTTTTTAATCCTAGATTTGGGATAAGAAATTTGAAAATTATTTTTATTTAAGATTTTCGGAAGTACAAAAAAAAATAAATTTAATTTAAATGTTAATTCAATTAATTTTTAATGCATTATTTGTTACCCTGTGTGTGGTAATATTTGCCTCTCAGTATTAAATAAAAATATTTCATCACTTACCGGTGCATTAAGCAGCTCATTTAAACGCGCTGAGACTTCTTGTCCCCGTTTGGGTCTTATTAATAGATAAATATTTTTTATGTCTGGACATGAACGCAATAGTTTTTCAACAAGAACCTGCAAAGATATGAGAAGAAATTTACATGTAATGTAATGAAATAAAGTTAAATAGTAAAGAGTAAAAAATAAATTAAAATACTTTACTTATGCTTAACAAAATATTTTTTTGTTTTTGTTAACAGAAGTAGGCGCTGCGTTTGTTTTTGTATTTCGAACCATAAATTTAAATAAAAAGTCGAGCAAACTACCAATAAGAAAAATAATTATTTTGATATACGCAATTAGCAAAAAGTAGCGATTTCAATATTTTTTATGCAGTAATCTGACTAAAGTAATGCAATTATTAAATTTTAAGAAATGTTTAAACATTTGGTTATATGTTTTTTAATCTTTTTTATTTTTTTATTTTAGTACCATTAATATTAAAACTTTTTTATATTATATTTATTGTAATAATTTAATTTAATTAATTTTTTTTTTTGTAAATAATTTAGTTGTTATTTTTATAAAAACCCATTTTAAATGATTTTTTTTCATTATATTTTAATTGTCTAGTTTTATATCATATTATGTTTTTATTTTTTATTTTTTAATGTTTAAACATTTTATATACAATAGCGGACAGTGAAATCCGAACTACCGTTCGGTTTGTATTTGAAGCGCGATTGTAACCGACTAGTGTATTTTACTGCCGAAAGGGTTATTATTTCATATTAATGTGTGCTCTGTACACGTTTAATAGCTACTTTCAGTTTCTTTTCATAGTTTATTTTGTGCTCGTGCTTCGTTAAAGCTTAAATATGCCGAATTCAAAAAAAATGTCTGAAATATGCAAAAGAGTAATATTTTGATTTTGCGGGAAGAAAATCTGACCATTCAGGAAATTAGTCATAGAGTTGGCTTCAGCAAGTCCTCCATCGGATGTTTTATGTAATATTTTTTTTACTACTTTTATAACATACTCTGTTAATAATATAAATATTTGTTTTTATTTACTATTTACTAATTATTTTTAATTTTTTATTTATTTTCTTTTGTAATTTTTTTTCATTCCATTATTTTTATTATTTTTTAATAATTTTTAATTGAAATTTTTTTATTTACTTTAATTTATTTTTAATACTCCTTACTATTCTTACTTCTTCTTAATATATTTTCAATCTTTTTTTCAATTTTTAATATCAAGAAATTTGGTTTTTTTAACTTTTTATTTTGGTTTTAGTATTTTTTTCATTTAAGTTAAATTTTACTTATATTTTATTTATAATTAAAAATTTTGTTTTTCATATTAAATATAAAAAAAATTTTATTTTTGTTTTAAATTTTTTTCATTTAATTTGCTTTTATTTAATAATTTTGTTGTTTTATTTTTTTTCATTATTTTTTAATTATCTTTATTTCTACTTAAATTTTTTTTTATATAATCGAGAATAATTTAATTTTCATTTGAGGCCTTTAAAAATGCATTAAATTAATTTTTCTTATATTTATAAAAACATTAATCAGTATGTACTTGTACAATATAGTAAAAAAAAAGTGGAATTGTAAATTTCACACAATCTACAAACATCATACGTATTAATTTCTCATTAATTTCCTATGAAACATCAATTATGGTTGGTTTGTTTATATTTGAAATCAAAAAAGTTTTAGCTATTTATCTCTGTGGGTTTACAATGACCCACCGCCTTCACACATGCTAATTTTAATTATACATATTTTATTTGCTTTAACGCCATAAAGTAGGCTAAGAATAATTAGCTCGTTTGTAATGACTGTATTGACAATAACCATTTCGTTTATCATAAACAGCGAGCCAATGACCTTTGTATTTTGTGGTAGTTGTGGCTGGCAGGACATTTGAAAGTGTACTTGTATAAAAAATGCCTTATTTGTATTTAATTTATTACTAAAGCTTCTTTTAACTATTCCAAGATTAATTAATTAATATTTTCGAAAACAGATTTATACACTTAAAGCGATAAAAAATATGTATATATAAGTATATATGTATATATAGAAGATATATTTTGGTTATAGAATTTGTACACTATATATTATAATAAAATGTAAAAAAATATATAAAAAATTATCTCTTAAAAAATCTTAATTTCAGTATAGCTCAGAAGAAAATATAAATCTAATAAAAATATTTTATTTAATTAAATAAAATATAAACAAAATTTACTAAAGCAGTAAAATTGTTAAATTATATGTAGTTTATTTACTAAAAATTATCTTTCCACTTATTTGTAAGCTTAATAGAACCTAACCTCAAACCAATGGCAAGCAAATTGCGAAATTTTCAACCGCCAAACGCCCAACCGGCACCACTAGTTGAGATCATCAGGAGCAATGTGCCGACACATATATTAAATGTCATAAGCGCGTTTACATGTGTGTATGTATGTATATTTTACATTTCTACATGCCGAATTGTCATACATCGCACGTTTGTAAATCCGCCTGACGACCGCGAGTCAGCGCGGGGAAAAACTATAATACAAGTATTATAATAATTTTACTAAGCAACGCCCACAGTAGCTAAGTACGCACATTTACATATATTCGCACACATATGTATGCAAGTGCTCGACAGGGGCCAGCCATTAAAATGCCAACAACGAGAAGAAAGTAAAAAACAAATTACAACAAAAAAAACAGCATAAACAAATCCAGCATGGCGTCTACAACAATAGAAACCAGCGCAATTAAAAGCAATTACCGTATGTTTAATATAACAGTGCCATATATGAACGCGTCACAATGAGCTAACGCCTAAAAATATACTAAGTGTGCAAAGTAATTGCATGTGTGTATAAAGTCACTCGCATATATTCACGCTCTTTGCCTCTCATTTGCTGCCCAACTTGCTTTTTCTGCTACTATTTCCAATTACTACATACTTGATTATCAACTCCAACTCAATGTGTTAGTGTCAAGAGTTGAGCAATTGTTTTTTTGTCCACCACAAAAGCAATAATAACAACAATAACAGCTAAATTTACTTCAAATTACATTAGCAATTCACTAATCGCCTTTGAGGAGTTAAACTAACCTTCATATAGCGCTCGTAAAGGGTTGTCGATCACGCTTAAATCCGTCCCTTAAGTGCCATCAATAAATAACCCTTCTGCCACCAAGCAGAAGCTGATAAGTAGTAACTACATATTTGTTAGTTTTTTTTTTAATATAAAGCTGCTTGTGGTAATTTGCCGTATTTTCAACACTGCTTATCGACCGCTCATTAAAGGCATCTTCCATGCGCCTTAAACCAATCACCCATTACATGCTCATGCAATCGTGATTGGCGCCAGAGAGCACGCACGTGTGGTTATATGGTTGTTATATACATATGTATGTGTGGATATTTATATGTTTAGATACTATGTATATCAAGCCAAATTGTTTTTCTATATACATACATATCTATACATATTCATGAAACTTTTATGCGCCTAAATTAACGTAGCGCCCCGCTGACACGCGTGCTCAGAAACATTGTGTCGTTCCTAATAAGTTTGCCACAGTACCATTCCATTCCATTCCCCCATGTTATCCTAATTTTTCTTTCTTACTCCTTTTATAGTTCACTTACTTGCTTGTTGTGTCTTCAATGTTTGCGTCACGTTCTTTTTTTTTATGGCGCTCATTACTTTTATAGTCACACTCTCGTCGGAGCACACTAACCTGATACAAGCTCTATGAAGCTGTATTTACTCTTTCACTAAAGCATAACTGTTTTTTTTTTTTATGAGTGTAGTTAACTAAGTGTCCTCGCCCCTCCAACTACGTGACTACTCGCATTACATGCCGTTGCACTCAATTGCTTATGTGTTGGGTAAATAAAGATATCCTGCTTGTGGGCGCATCGCATCCGCATATTCATATCCGTATCCGCATCCATTAGGTGGCACCATTTTTAAAGGTGTAGGTGTGAATGGTTGCTTAACGGTTAACGTTTAATGCATACTCACGAATGATGAAAAGTTTTAGTTTGGTGAAATTCTTCAGATTTAGAATTATTTTTGATTTTTGAGTTTTTAGAACAAAAGAGTTAAAAAAAATTACCAAAGATTGTAAAAGATTTGTATTCAATGCTTGAATACTTTCTCTAACTAGGTTCTCAACATATATAGGTTTTAAAGAAAAACATAAGCACTAAGATAATTAGAAATAATGCTTTCAAAAAACATAAAGTTCGCAAGAGTCAAAGTACTGCCGGTCTTGACTTTACGACTAGAAAATATAGCAAATATAGTAGAACTGTAAGTTCCGCAAGTATTCATCGCTTTACTATTGTTATTGTAGTTGGATTTCACAAAATTTTTGATAAATATGGACTTGATAATTGTCCTTAACTGAATATTATCACACAGCATCTTCTTTGGAGGCTCTTTCGACAGTTTATTGTTACTCGGTTCCTATTATAGACTGTCATGGAGAGTGTAGCCATGGAACTTCGGTTTTGTTTGCATTACATAGAGCCAACTATCTTGCCGAATAGAACTATGAACAACTTTTTAAATTTATTGAACTTTTTTTTTTCAGCTCCATGCCTATTACTCAGGAAATGGCACAATGCATGTTCTTTAGAGATTTTTCAACACTTTTTTGGCTTCGTTTCGATACGTAGAGCATCAAAGAATAGAGGCATAAATCTTATTTCTGGATTCCTTCAATAATTTTTTTCCGGCTCCGTTCATTACAATGACCTAACTGTCTTAAAGGTGGAATTTATATGTCTTCTATCAAAATTATTTCGACAACTTATGCCGATATGTCTGAATTGGTATAACTCCAAACAACTTATATAAGTCTTGTCAGGAGTTATGCTGACAACGCGGAAAAGGGGTCACGGGAAATGACGTTACAATGGCGGAGTTTTAATTTTTTGGTTTTTAAAATCTCAGAGATTATTATTATGTGTATCTTTAAGACTGAAAAAAGCTTAAATTAAATAAATAATTTTTTATATAGAAAAAAATTTATTGAAATTAACGTTACTTTTAGTTCCTAATGTAAAAAGTAGCATTGCGAACGAAGAAAACTTACTATAACGCTACTGTAGGTTCCCTCCTAATTCTCTAAAACCGAACTCGATCGAAAGCAAAATTTTATGCAAACAAAAACTAGCTTTGAACTATAATGGGTAGTAGGTTTTACAGAAGAGAATTTCAAACTCCCAAGCTGCCAAATTTCAAAACATTCATTATAGCTAACCTGCATAATTATTACACCTTACAAGTTCTCGAAAAAGACATTTTATGTATTTTTCAAATAGAACCTCACATCATTGTGATGCATTACCCAAATTAAGTCAAGCCACACGTACATTTAGTCGCCCTAAATTCATAAAATTTCAAAAAAAAAAACATTATTATAGAATAACGTCATCGGTCTTTGTCCACCGAATTAAAAGAAGAATAGGAATTTTAATGCACAAAGAAAATTTACAACAAACACATGTTGGTTTGTGACAGTAGAAAAAAAACCGAAATTCCAGCATGAAATGCGCAACAAATGTCTCAGTGTCATTTATCATTATCTCCAACTTTTAGTATTTTTCTCGTTTTTTTTCGCAAAAGAACAGCAGATTTTCGTGATGCGCCCGCGTGATTCCCCCGTGAAACGGGCAACAGTACAAACCCCGAATTAATGTAAACAAACAGCTAACAATGGGGCGGATGAATGAATGAATGAATGAGCAAATGAATAAATAAATGAAAACAAATGCTGCAACATGCCAACTAATACTAACGCAGGCGTGTGTCTGTATTGTTGTATTGTAGTTTGAAGCGCACTTTTGTGTCAAGAATTTCGTAATTACCGAGCTTTGAGAAATTGGTGGGGGGTTTGAAAAAATTTCAAGTAGGTTAATTTAGAAGGTTTATTATGTAAGAGCGAAAGGCATGAAAACTAAAAGCAGAAAAGCGGTTGACACGGGTAAATAAAAGCTTTAGTAGAGTTTTCCTTAAATGTTGTACATTGTATATAATATTTATATACAATTAAGCTAGCGTATTCTAGTTCTCATAAGCTTTCATATTCTTCTAAAAATATCCGTTACTTCGCAGCTAAAGAAGCTTCAGCTTCTTGCTGTTTAAATTATCTTCTCTATGAAAATCATTGCCTAGTTGGAGCTTTCACTTGTTTACTTATTAAAACAAAGCTCTGTAGTGAGCTTTCATATTTTTATGCAAATCTTCGCTAGCAAGATATAGTTTTCTTCTATACAGCTTATTTTTAAATTTGTACTTTTATTATATCAAAATTATATTTAATATTTTTAATTTAGAAAATAGCCGAAGCTTTCATTTAACCATTTTAATATATAAGGATATGAAAAATATTAGGAAAATTTTAGAATTAATATGGGAAAGCTATATTTGTGTTTTCATTCATATATACTTAACATTTATCTTTAATAAACTTATGTTTTTCTTTATAAAATTCAAAATCAAAATAAAAAATTATATGTCTAGTAAATGAAAGTTTGATAATGGCTTTTTATTTTGCTAAATATTAATATTATATTAAAAAAAATATATTTCTTTGTTTAACTTGTATTTTATTTAAAGTGTTTGGAACTAACTTAATTTTTGTTGCCCTAACATAAAAAACATAAATTAGCTTTCATACTATACGCTTGCAAGCTTAATTTTTTTTAAGTGCTCCCATTATGCCAAACTTTATATATATATTTATTAAACTTAAATTGCGTAACCACAAACACATATTGAAATTAGTTAAAGTATGAAACTGATTTCTGGTGAGGCTTTCATAAATAGTAATACGGAAAACTTTCATATTAATTATTTATTATTTAAATTAAACATTTATGCTCCAATTAAACCACGAAAGCTGTCATACAACTAACATTTATCATTTAATATTATAGTTTTATAATTTATGCTTTCATAGTACCACGAAAGCTTTCATATTATGCATTTCGAAGCTTTCATACTAACACTTTTTTTTATATTTCTTTTATAATCTTTATTATATTTTTATAATTTACGCTTTCATAATACTACGAAAGCTTTTAAATTATGTATTTCGAAGCTTTCATGCTAAAAGTTTGGTATATGTACATCCTTTCTTTTAAAACTTATCATTTAATTTTATAATTTGTAATTTCAAAAACCCGCGCAAGCTTTCATTTTTAAACACAAACTTTTATAGCTTGTGCTTTCAAAAACCCAAACAAGCTTTCACCTTAAACACAAACTTTTACAAACACACATTTATTTTTTTGGTTTATTTAATTTTTATTTTCAAAGTAACTACTCACCTTTCCCATAAATCCAGTACCTCCGGTTATGAATACACTACGTCCCGCATAGAATTGTGGAATGGACATAAAACTGCTAGACGATATATCATCACCATTAAAGTGATCGGTTTTTACATTACCAGCTGGCAAACTGTTGCTACCGCTAGCGCCACCATTTGTTAGGCCCAAGTGATGCGCGGCACCTTCGGCATGCCCATTGAGCAGCAACATTTCACGTGTACTATTTGAACCCTCCATTTCGCGTTTGTTGGATTTTGTAATTTATTTATGTTTTTTTTTTAATGTAATTTATTTGCTTCAACTCGTATGGTATGTATAGTATATAGGGTAAGTAGTATTTCTATATATGTGTATATATATATATATATATATATATCTATTGTAAGTAGTTGGGTAGAGTTTACTTTGATTTTTTCAAATTGCGTTTAATTGTTAGATAGTTAGGTTAGAACTAGAATTGCGTAGTTTACAATGGAATGGTTTGTGGTTGTTCGATTTGACTGCACTATTTACTGTTATTTTGCTATTAGATATTTAAATTACAGTTAGTTGCTAGTGTGGTTTTCGATGAGTTTTCTATTCGCTTTCCGTTTTGGTGGTACGTGGCGTTCTAGAGCTTACGGTAGACATGGATTGTAAGTAAGTAGTTATGTATGTATTATTGCAAAATGGAAATTTCACACGCATGTGTAGAATTTTTTTTGGAGCTTTTTTCTTGAATTTCTTTTTAAATGTTTACTTTCTGCAATAAACAAGTTGTAATTAAATTTTTTTTGTATTTATGGTATGCTTGATGATTTGATATATGTATGCACTATATGCGTGTTATAAATAATTGCAATTGATTTTCGGTTCTCTCTCTTACTAAATTAGGAAGCAGTAATGTTTTCGAATGTGCGCGTTTTATACTCTTCTCTCTTTAGTTTGGTTTTATTTAATTTTATTATTATTATTATTTATTTTTTTTTGTAATTGTTATTTGTTCTTTTTTTTATTATACTTCTCGTTTGCTTAGTTAATGCTTTAATTGTTTGCTCAATTGCTTAATTGCTTTGCTAAACACGATTTACGAAAGGGTTGTTTGGTTTAAAGAACTAAATTATTGCTCAGCGGCTAATTAGAAATATTTCTCACATATGTATATGTTTATATATTTTTTATTATTTATAGGTGCTTCGTTTCGCTTAATTGGAGGGGAGTTGGTCAACTGCACTGCATTCCAATAAATAGTTGTATTTTATTTATAATATTTTTTTGGTTACTTGGAAACTAACAAACCTTTTATATATATATATTTTTTTTTTGTTGCAATTTACTTCTTCTACGGCGGCGTTGGAAGCGTACGGAAGATACCAGTGCCAGCGTAGCTAATTTAAAGCAATTTTATCTATGCAATTTATGGCGCTCCCTGAATTTGTTTGTCTACTACTAAATATTTTTTTATTTTTTAATTGCAATATGCTGGTGTTTGCTTCTTGTAATTTTTACTTTCTTTACTTTTTCTGCTTTATTAAAGTTTTATATAGTGAAGACAAGCGTAGAACGGCTAGAATCGTTTATATATTAGTGAGATAGAGAGATTAGCAATTACTTTTAGTTTTGTTAAAGTAAGAATAATTCTTGTTTTCTTTCAACGATTTTTGTATTCTCTTGCGTGCATAATTTCCTACTCGATCTTTTCGTACGTAGAATTTTAGTTTACTTATAATTTTTTTTGTTTTCTTGTTTGAAAATTACTAGTAAGTGTGTGAATTGAAATTTTTCGTATTCTTTATCAACTGCTTAAGTATGTTCTTGCTACGTTTGAGCGTTTATCCATTTTGTTCGACTTTCAAATATCAAGTTTTCTCATTCCAAATATGTGAGGGAACATGGTATGTACAAAATGCGCGTAATTAACTGTAAAGAAAGAGAGAGAGAGAGAGAGATTGTGCGTAAGTTTTAGAAGTTAATTTTAATAAGAGAAAAAATTAATAAATAAATATTTTTTTTGTAATTTATTAGCAAACTTTTTGTCATAAAACTTTAAATTTGTCCATGAATTTCCCTTTAATACTTAGCTTAAACAAAATTATTGTTGAAACTAAAAAAACGTGGATGCCATACTACTGCCGTGAGACTTATTTATCTAGTTGTGCATAAGCATTCTTAAAACTCAGAGTACTAATGTAAAAGTTTTTAATCGGCATCTTAAACTCCAGCTCCAGCGAGACAGCTACAAGAATATGCAGACAGCGAAAGAGAGAAAGAGAGTACGGGTTCACAATTGCATACAATAAAGCTATTTGAAAATAGTTCTTGCGAAATCAACACTGTGCGCTGATCTTCTCTGCTTTTGATTCAAGAATATCCATAGTGTGAGATCGAGAGAGAGAGTCCGACTTATCGCCGACTTATAACAACTAAACTATTTGGCATTAGTAAATACGTTTCATGGGAACTGTTTCACTATCAGTTTAAAAGTCATCATCCATTTAGGTACTCATTTTTTAACTTAACTCTAATAATTTACTAAAAGAGATTTAAATAAAAAAAAGATTTAAAAAAAATTTTACTATATTTTTCAAATAATCTAATGATCAGAGAAATGCTTCACTAAACATGCCACAATTGAAATTGTGTCTGCTAGTTACGAGCGCTTTGAATAACGAATTCTCTAAACTAATTAAGGACTACAACCAATTTGTAACAGCTCTCTATTGACAAGGTTTTAAAAACAGTTAAGTATCATGTGAACTTCAAACTTCGCTAAGGATGCTAGCAAGGATCTTTATGTTTCTTCTCAAGTAATTTAAATTTAAAAAAAACTAAAACTGTAATATTGTTTCTAATATTTATATTCTTAATTGATTTATCGCCATGTACAACTGTTGAACTTTTGGCTCTAGTTTCAGTAAGATCATTTTTAACGCAAGCATGTACATACAATTCGTTCAATATATTACCACTTTGAACTCTATTTAGTATAAGAGACTTAACGGCTCCTTAAAAAATGCTTTCAAATTAATACCAAATAGGTTTTCATAAATAGACTGCCTTACGCCATTTTTAAATATTACTTGAAAAAATAAATCCTTTTGTCTTAATACTAAATTTTAACTGGATTTAATACAAAATTTCATGATTCATGAAACATTTTAAAGTTATCCGGGAAATAAATTTTCAAAAATACAAAAACAAAAAAGCTCAATGCCTCTTAGTCAATAAAAATCCAATTTTGTCTGCCATTTGCCCTTTTCTGTCACATTTGCCAAAAAGGCAAACAAACTTGACTTAATATATGTATGTGTGTACGTTCACACATACAATCACATGTATTATGTATAAGCACGTACATGTATGTAAGCTGACATTGATTTGGGATCGACATTCTCATAGTTAATTCAATGCTACTATTTTATGCTCACCGCTGTGCGTAAGTTCTTTTACGTCATTCGAGGCGTTTGCTTCCTTCGTCGCGCAAATTGAAATCGGTGCATTGGAACGCAATCTGTTTGTGGCACAAGATAATAACAATACACATATAATATGTATTACATATATATGTATATGTATTTTGTATTCTTCTTTGAATATTGGGTAGAAGTGTAGTCCTGTGCTTTCTACTATAACGCTAACAGGGACGCTACTTAATCATATATTATGTGCATATTTTCTAAAAACTGAAAAGCTAAAATTTTTTAAAATAAATTTCTAAGTAATTTCGATATTTGTACCCTAAATAGGTTATATTAAGTTTGTCACGAAGTTTGTAGCAAGAAAATGTCGGAGACCTTTTAAACATATAACTAAATGCTCAGCATGACGAGCTGTCTGTCTGTATATATGCGAATTAATTCCTCAATTTTTGAGATATCGCTCAGAAATTCTGCACACATGACTTTTTTCCTCACGAAACAGCTCATTTGTCGCAGCCGCCGATATCGGACCATTATAGTATATAGCTGCCATACAAACTGAACGATCGGAATCAGGTGTTTGTATGGAAAACATTTTTATCTAAGGGGATATCTTCAACAAATTTGGTTATTGTTCTTTGTAGAAAAGAACGGGTGTACAATTTCAGATCGATATATTTTATACCTGGGTGGGTATAACAAAATAGTTATGCAATATAAAACTTTTTTTTTTATTAAAAAAATATACAATTTTTTATGATCCACATAGCTCTTAATTTTAAAAATAAAATTTGTTTGTCACACTATGCCTCATTAGGCACATTTTCGAACGCTTTTGACTCACTTCAAGACACTGTACACCTGCGTCGTTGCTACACTGCGGCACAAATCATTTATTAATGCGCCCGCCCAAACAGGCTGCCAAAGGACACTGTGTTGACAGTTACAACACGTACGCGCCAATAAATTTAAATTCACCAACAAAAAAATCAACGAAAACCACGCAACAGATTAAATATGAATATGCACAACAAGAGTAAAAAGTGATAAGAAACAAACCAGGAAGCAAATAAATAAATAAGTAAGTATGCTATTAAATATGAATAAGTAGTAGATAGGCACTTAGTAGTGGGAGTAGTTTGACGGTACACACAGTGAGACCGCCTTAAACCGCGCGTTACAAAGCCAACGATACGAATGCGCCGAGACGCTATAACGACGCAGATATATGTAGCTTCCGCATAAAACAAAAAATTACACAAACCAACAACATCAGTAAGAACACAGCGCAGGCTAAGTAAGAGCGCGCGGCGCGAGCGGTGCATAACTAAGGAGTCGGTAAACACTGCGCGCAAAAGATTTACAGCCGAGTAATGCGAACTTTGGCTGGGTGTTAAGGGCGCGCAAGCTGTGTACGCATGTGACGATGGAATCGAATGTGTAGGGTTGGGGGTACTTTACAACACAATGAGTGTATTTAATAAGCGTTTTTATTGTTGTATGTACGCGCCACATACTTTTACAACATTAAGAGGCTATTAAAAACTTGTAGTTGTATTATTTACTTGGATACTTCTAACGGATATGTACTGCACTCAAACACAACACACATTAAAACACGCGATTAACATTTGTTGACTGCAACGGAAACCGGCTTGAGCGCCTAGCTTCAAGCGCGCTTGTTTGCATGGCTTAGGTGTGTGTGTGAATGAGACATATAGCAAATACTACAACAGCGCGCGCGCGCAACCACCTCCCCCGCTTATGCGACGTAGGGCGAGAAAGCGCAAAGTATTTCAGGCAGTAGACGAGGTGTGTTCAAAGGAAATGGTGAATTTTGATATTTCGCGGGCTGTGTACATTCGATTATCGATATTTTGTTTTTGTTATAATCAAACAAGTATTTATCAGTGGTACAAGCGCTTTATAGAAGGCCGAGAAGATGTTGATGACGATCAGCATACTGGAGGTGCGAACACGTCAACAAGTGAAGAAATTGATGTGAAAAAATTCGTTCACTATTACTATTTAGGAAGTTGCAGAGGATGTAGGCATATCAATCGGCTCATGCCATTCAATTTTCTCTAATGTTTTGTGTATGCAACGTATGGCAGCGATTGGCCAGCACACACATCAATGCTTATTCGTGATTTTTTATTCAAAAACCAAACCGTAATCATGCCTCAACCACCGTATTCAACAGATTTGGCTCCCTACGACTTTTTCCTATTCCCAAAACTGAAGAAACCAATAAAAGGAAAGTGTTTTGCCACAATAGATGAGATCAAGTCCGAATCGAAGAAAGAGCTGATGGCCATACCAAGAAGCGCTTTTCAGAAGTACTTCGAGGATTGAGAAAAGCGTTGACACAAGTGTGTTATATCCGAGGAGGATTACTTTGAAGGGTAAAAAATAGATATTGCTGAATAAATAAGTACTTTTCAAAATAATTCAAAATTCACCCTTTCTCTTGAACACACCTCGTACATTATATGGTCGACATGGAACGCAAGGCTTGCTGCTGGGTTATGGAACCCATAAATGTTGTATTAATAAGAGTTGCCAACAATGCACTTTTTCCAATAGTCACGCATTTCATTTTTTTGATGAGTTCATATCACAAAATTTGTTTTTTTTTTTAAGTAAACTAAGGAAGTGTTGTTTTAATAATTTATTTTTGTTTTACTACATATTTACAACAAATGTATAGACAAAAACATAATGGTTGCGCATTTCATTGGCCACTATTTAAACACCTTTGACGTCAGCAAAGCCTAACAGGAATTCAAATGAACCTCAAGTGTTAAAGTGATAAAGGTGCGGAATGCATTTTGGCATAGAATTCTAAATAAAAATTGCGTACAAAAACCGTTTTAGTAAAAGTTTAGGTGAAAAATGTGATAGACTTACAGCTCAATCAATTTTAAATAGCTTTAAAGGGCGGTCGTTTGCTTTGCGTTCCTTCGTTATTCTCTTTCAACAATTATACTTCCAAACTACAGGGTGTATTGTCTTATATGTCAGTATAGATTTAGTTTGTTGAACATGTTTCGGAAATTGCAATTCAATATAGTTCTAACCATAAATCACTTCATCCCGAAATAACAGTGAAACACGCCTTACATGACTAGACAGAAGGGCCTTCAAAATAACCATAAAATAATATAATAAAATTTCAGATTCATTAAGGTAATTGTAAGCGCAAACAATTAATCGTTTGAATCGGCGATAGCGTCTAAATTATTTTTCTAAACAATATATGAAACAATCGTTGGGAATCCATATCAATGGATATTGACTTAATATGTCGGTACACAGAACAACGAACAATGTACAAGTATTATTGCGAGTTTAATTAAAAAGTAAAGTGTAAGCCTGCAAAAGCCGACCATACCTGAACTCAAGGCAAAAAATGATGCTGAGGTAATCGAGAAAATAATAGAGAATGCAGTTAAAAGAACTCAAGAAGTTCAGTTTTTTGGTGTTGTATTCAAAAAAACG